TCTTTTGTTTCTCTTTTTTGTTTTTTTTTATATATATATATATATATATATATATATATATATATATATATATAGTTTTTGGATCTTGAGAGCCTCATCTCCGGTTATAGACCACTCTTGACTCTCTGCGATTGTTTTTGGAAAATTGGGATAAAAATTCTCCTTTTGTTGAGAGAAAGTCATACAGCAGCCGGGTTTACAAAATATTCTTTATAATAAAATTCTTCTTAACTGTTTTCTAAGGCCCTGTCCCAAATGGAACACTTTATGTGCACTTGCGGTCTTACGGACTTACAATGGCCGCCGCGTGCGTGTATCCGATAAGTCCACGAGACCGTAGGGTGTCCCACTTGTAATTTTAGCATTCAGTAGGGTGCTTGCGAGCGCCCCCTTTGCGGCCGTTATGCGCCCTCGATCCGCACTTCTGCCAAGCCCGCACCGGGGCGAGCTCCGCAGCAGACTTCTACCCAACAGTCAAAGCGGCATTACGTTATGAAAGTGTGGACTCAGAGGGAGACCACGAGGGTTTAGGGTGCCATTTGGGACAGGGCCTACCTGAAGAATAAAGTTAAGAATATTTTGTATTTCAAAACACATTTCTTAAGAATGTTCATATTTTTTTTAGACTTTTCCAAAAACAAATCTTCTGAAATCCTGAAAAGAATGTTCTTCAAAAACCACAAGCAAGCGTATTGTGACAAAAATATTGTTAGGGCTTATTAGGATTATTATGGTAATCTGCAGGCACCACCAAAAGACGGCCTTTGAGGTGTTTTTAAGTAGATCAGCGAGACATTGTCATTGTTTAAAGGAAAAAATTTAACTAAAATGTAACATTCTTAAGAACTTCTTAAAATGTATTTTAAGAAATTTCTTAACTTCTTTCTTAAGAAGATATTTGTGAATTACGGTAATCTGCAGGCAGTGCAAAAAGATGGCCTTTCTTGAGAAACATTCTTAGGAATTTATCTTAGATTTTCATGATTCCGGCACCAGGTTTGAATCAGTAATAGGGTGATCATAATTTTTGAGTTAAAAATTATGTGTATTAGGCACTACTCCATAACCATCTCCTAAGTATTTTTAAATAAATGTCGAATCTATACAGACTGCTTTTTATTGTATTTTTTCTTCCTCAGCACACGTGTTTCGCTCCTCACCTCAGTTTGGAGTGACTCTAGTGACTTATGAGCTCCTGCAGAGGTGGTTCTACATAGACTTCGGTGGACAGTAAGACTCTTACACCTCCTAAAACTTTGAAATAGTTAAGTAGCACTTTCTTTAGAATTCTTCCATTAGGAAAAAAGCTCTGGGCCACGTAGTGTGATTGTGAAGAGCACTGAAATGTCAGATGCCCTGAAATTTCATTAATAGCTGTTTAGAGAGGGCTGACTTTGTAGCAAAGACTCTCATTTCGATGAGCACTTTGTTACAGCTGAAGCAGGAAGGCCTAATTACTACACAAGAAAGCGTTGAACGCCTGGACTGAAAGCTGTTTGCCGTGGCATCTTTATCTCTCCTGCTGAAGCGAAAAACACCCTCGCTTTATGATTTAGAAAGGGTCAGCTGACTCACTGAAGCCTGGAGGTGACATTTCTAGAAATGCTCTTCCATAGCCACATGGCTCCATGTGTCCAAGTGATTTGAGGTGGGGAGAATTGCTTTGACTGGAGTCTGTTCCAGTTCAGGACAGAATGACCTTCTTTTCCCGTGGAATACTGTGCTGTCTTCAAACCCAGAAACCACAGGCGCATATAAAAGAACATGGTATATATACAAACCTGTGTGTGGATTTGTTTTTATACCTGTTTATATATTTATTCATGTGGCTCAGTTAGCACTTTAATAAATACGTGCTGTCATATAGAAAAGTGTACTGGAGATAAACAGCCTGACTGAATTGTGAAAACGAGAATATTTTCCTTTAAAGTTGTGGAACAAATAAACGAACAGAGCGGTTTCTTGCCTTTTTCCAAACCTTTCCATTTAGGATACAGACTGTATTTTAAGACATTTTATGACATCAGTTTAAATGAAATCATACAGTCATGTAGCTCAGATCTGAAGCTTTTATGTGAAAAAGAAACTATATGACCAAGGATGCATTATTATTGAAATTCCAACTGATACTGATATTTACCTTCATTATGACTGTTAACTGATGGCTAATATAATAAATATATTGGTTAAAGAATACATCTATTCTTTGTGTGTGTATGTATGTATGGTATGTACAGTGGGTAAGGAAAGTATTCAGACCCCCTTAAATTTTTCACTCTTTGTTATATTGCAGCCATTTGCTAAAATCATTTAAGTAAATTTTTTTCCCTCATTAATGTACACACAGCACCCCATATTGACAGAAAAACACAGAATTGTTGACATTTTTTGCAAATTTATTAAAAAAGAAAAACTGAAATATCACATTGCTGTGACACTCATATATTTAACTCAGGTGCTGTCCATTTCTTCTGATCATCCTTGAGATGGTTCTACACCTTCATTTGAGTCCAGCTGTGTTTGATTATACTGATTGGACTTGATTAGGAAAGCCACACACCTGTCTATATAAGACCTTACAGCTCACAGTGCATGTCAGAGCAAATGAGAATCATGAGGTCAAAGGAACTGCCTGAAGAGCTCAGAGACAGAATAGGGCTGCAGAGCCAGTGGTGGTTTTGTAGGCAAACATTAATGCCTTGAATTTTATGCGAGCAGCTATTGGTAGCCAGTGGAAACTGATAAACAGAGGTGTGACGTGCATTCTTTTCAGCTCGTTAAAAATTTATTGTAAAGGTTTGATAGAACTGGCTGGAAGACCTGCCAAGAGAGCATTGCAATAGTCCAGCCTGGACAGAACAAGAGCTTGAACAAGGAGTTGTGAAGCTTTATATATATATATATACATATATACTTTATATATATACTTTACTTTATGTATACTTTACTTTATGTGTATGTATGTATATATATATATACACAAACGATTAATCGCATCCAAAAATAAAAGTTTTTGTTTACATAATATGTGTTTGTACTGTGTATATTTATGTATATATAAATACACACAAATGCATGTATATATTTAAGAAAAATATTTTAGGTTTATATATTAAATATATTTATATATTATATAATTTATATGAATATAAATATATACATGTAAATACATGTAAATATTTTCAAAATCTATGCTGTATGTGTGTCTTTATATATACATAATAAATATACACAGTACACACACATATTATGTAAACAAAAACTTATTTTGGATGTGATTAATCGCGATTAATCATTTGACAGCACTAATATATACATATATATTAAGGAAACCCTTAATATTTATTTTGTCTTACTGACCCCAAACATTTGTAGTGTATGTAAAAAATGATTTGTCTGGGACAGCGATATATCGACAGCGATATGGGACAGTCAAATATAGTCGTTATACAAAAAATATTTGCATGCCACAATTGACCAGTTAGAATCAAGTATTCCAGAAGCTGTGCTAAAATAGCACATGCATACATGGAATGAATGAAAAGATGTATTTCATATGTGGTCATTGTGAAACTCTATTCACATGCTTTTTCCTTTGTCATAAATCTACATAAGCACATAGACAGTGACATGTTTATTTTATTGCTTATGCGGACACTCAAATTTAGATGTAGTTTTTCATATTCATGTCTGGTTTTGGTGCTTCAAACGGATCTGAGCTACATGATTATGATTTCATTCAGGCTAAATGGTAAGACGATGTCCTAAAATAGGATTTGTGTCCTAAATGGAAAGTGTTTTTTTTAAAAAGGGAAGGCAAGAAACTGGTTCTGGTCTATTCATTTATTTTGTGTTCCATAACTTGAGGGGAAAATATTCTTGTTTTCACTATTGAGACAGGCTGTTTATTCTTTTTGACAAGACACAGCAGAATGTGAAGTTTCCCTTTGCTCCTCCTCCTCCTCATCCATCTTCTCTCTCCCTCTCTCCTCACCACAGAAAACCAGCTGGCGCAGAGCCTACTCCCAAGTCTCGGATCAGCCTCCCGGCGCCCAATCCTGACCACATCGGTGGCTTCAGGTTGGCTGTGGCCACATTTGCTGGCATCGAGAGTAAATTTGGATTGCATCTACCACGATTCCGAGCATCTGCCGCCCCACACGTTTGAAGCAAACGCATCCACTTCAGCAGCACTGGAACAAACACACATATGAATCTCTTCCTTCTAGTTGAGAACATAAAACCTTCAGCAGATGAACTGGAAATAATGTTTTATGTGATTGTTAGTGCAAATTACAACGTTAAAGTACAACGTAGATGGGATGATGTTTAATATATTTTTTTTATCTACCACAAAGTAGGATTCTACTTAGGATCCCTGGATTCTTCAGTGGGTTTGTAGTGTGACTTTGATTTATTTTTAAATGTAAATCAAACCTTTTGTTTTTTAAATCCTTTCAGTTGTTTTGTATTTTTTATGTACCTGAAAAAACGATCAGTTACATTTACTACAGTATACTTATTTATTTATTTATTAAATTAACATGTCACTTGATGCATATTGCAGGGTTTTAAAACAGTACAAGCGTATCCAGCTAGAAATGACCATGTTTTATTGTTTAAATGATAGATGTGCAACTGTTTACATTTTCTTTTCTCCTCCTTTTACCATACAACTATTTTAAACACATAGCACTCATTGGGCAGTTCATTTCAGTACTGACGTGGACTCTCACATTTGAGTGTATTATAGTATTCCATATTTATGTTTGTATAGTGTTAAATTTGTGTGTTGGGAATCTACATGCAGTGCCAGTTTATGGTCAATGTGAAATCAGAGACTCGGCAGTACGGTTTTACAGATGATGTTTGTCAGTACTGTATTTCTCAATCCCTTGAAAAATGATGTGAAGACTAAATTGAGCTGTACAGTAGAGTTGATTGTACATATAGTGGGTAAAGATTGTGCCTTACTGTAAGTATGGCAGCAATAGATGCACTGATGGACAGACCGATTTATTAAAAGGAGATCAAACAAAAACGGTTGCTAGAAGCATCTTTTATTTGCCAATACTTATTTTATTTAGCCACACACTTCTTATGGTTTTCAGTAACATTTCTAACAAGTGAAACATCTTTTAGTAAGCACAAAATACCTGCTTGCATCGCTGTAACACTGACGAGAAAGCCACTGTGAATATTGTTGACACAATCACCAACTTATATATAACTTAATTTGTCAATGCTTAATGCAGGGGCTCAGAACAAAAATATATATACACACACTATTCAAGTATACTAAAATAACCACAAACCAACATCGAAGATGCCTTTCTAGCAGCAGGTTGTTACAAATTCACATTTTTGAAATGCACATTTTCAAAAATGTTATTAACTGATTTAGCAGTAATTGTCATCAAGGTAATGAGACAAAACGTAAAAATACAATGAACTCTCGCACAACAAAACTGTACATAAAGCGCATGGAAATGAAACCTAATTTTAATGCTTCGTAACAAACCCAAGAGTACAACATTTAAGGGACAGTTCACCTAAACACCTCAAATTCTGTCATTTCATCACCATTTCATTCCAAACCTGTTTGACTTTATTACGTGGGACACAAAATAGCTCTTTCCCATAAAAAGAATGTGTTAATTCACGTTCATTATGGAATGACAGTGGTGAGTAAAAGAAAGTTACTACGTGTATTTTGCTGATATGATAGAAACTCTTTGCTAATTCTAGAAATTATAATATATATAATTTATGAACGGGCTCAAACAAGTCATTCTTTTCAGTAATCTGTCTTCACTTCCGAATCAAAAACATTAAGCACATAAAAGTAATTTCGTGATTTGGACAAAAGTGGTTGTGTATGTTTATTTTACATGAATTCCGCGAGGACCACTCAATAGAAAGACGTTTCTTATTAATTTGCTGTACACAGTCATCATAGTCACACAGACTCTGCGAACTCACATTCACAATATGATTTATTTGCCGTATTTACTACAAATGTAGTATGGTTTGATTAAATTCATACTTCACACATTCATACTTTATAGAACATTTCTTAAAGTAGGCCTACCTATTCAGAGAGTATGCGATTTCAGATGCAGCCAGAGTAAACGATTAATCTCGAGATTTTAGGAATTGTCAGGAAATCTTGATTATTCATGATTTGTCCTCTAAACCAGTTAAGCACAACCCCTCACCGCGCAGCTGATTCGAAAGACTGTATTGGTCATGTAAATCACAGTTCAGACTACACAACGTTAAACCACCTACTAACCCTTGACCCCAACCTAAACCCTAAGCTCACTATAGCCTTGGTAGCAAATCCTGACAGCATAGGCCTAGTGTTTGATTGATTTGATCCACTGAAGATATTTCTGAACTTTTCTTGACAGGTGACTGCATGATTGAGTTGACCAACCATGCAATATTTTTACCCATTCCTAGTAACCAATTATTCATTATCTGGATAAATGGTCCCTTTTATTGGAGTAAACTGCACAGTACTAGTGACATGCTAATTGGGTGTGTTACATCAGGCTCAATCTGGGTTGGTGATGACTCTGATCCCGCGTTTACGTGGCCAGCTCCACGGGCCCCTACTCCTCACCGTCCCCATGGTTGGCACGGATCTCCATCAGCATGCGTCCGAAGTGGGCTCAATCCTCACTGTGGGGCACGGCCAGCTGCAACAGATGAGCGTTTTAGAAATCCTGAGCCAAAAACACCCCCCACCCCTCTAAAACGCCACATCAAGAGCAAAAGCTACGCATTACATGTGCTGTCTCAGTGTGGGAGAGGAAAGAGATCACCACACATTGTGATTCAGAGACAGAACAATAAAGCTGCTTGTTTGGCCTTTGAGTGCTGAATATTTATCGTGTCAGTTCTCAGGAAGGGGAAGATGGGGACTATGGGTCGGCTGGGTGACGATGTGGGATCGCTTTCTGCTGTCAGAGAGTCAGATTTAGATGAGAAAGGACGGCTGCCTGCCGCCCAGGCTGAGAGAGAGAGAGAGATCTACAGGGTATAATTAAACAGGAATAGAGAGGTGGGAGGAGATGACAGCCACTTCCAAACCCAAGACCAAATCAAGCTCTTTTATAGTACAGCAGGGGGTCTCAAGATGCCTTCATCAATAAATGACCTTATAACACTGGCATTTCATCACTATATTCTGTATACTATACATATGTATTTATGCATATGTATATACTGTATATATATATATATATTTAATCTAATTAATTACACCATGTTTCGATTAATTGCTAAATAAATTTGACAGTAAAAATACCCACAAAAGATTATTTAAAGCTATTTTTGTGTTAAATGAGAAAGAATCAAGTAGACATTACAAATTGTAGCTTTAGAAAGAAATATTTAATTTCATTCAACATAAAATTAATTTATTTAACTGCGTTAAAATATTTTAATGATGTTTTTATAACTAATTAAGTTAACACTTTAAACTGACAGCCCTTAATCTAATTAATTACACCATGTTTCGATTAATTGCTAAATAAATTTGACAGTAAAAATACCCACAAAAGATTATTTAAAGCTATTTTTGTGTTAAATGAGAAAGAATCAAGTAGACATTACAAATTGTAGCTTTAGAAAGAAATATTTAATTTCATTCAACATAAAATTAATTTATTTAACTGCGTTAAAATATTTTAATGATGTTTTTATAACTAATTAAGTTAACACTTTAAACTGACAGCCCTAATATATATATATATATATATATATATATATATATATATATATATATAATGCACAAACATAGAACGCAGAAAAAAAGTTTAATTTTTTTAAAATAATTTTTCAAGAAATCTTTACATTTACTAAATCTAAAAATGTCATGTGGTATAATCGAGTAAAATTATTACAATTCTGTACCTTGTACATCTTAATCAATTTTTAAAATATATTTTTTAAGATATCATAATTCAAGTTCTTAATTCATAATTCAAGACATTTTGCAAACTGAAAAAAACTTGTCTTGTCATAAAAAATATCTAATACAGTGGTTCTCAACTGGTTTGGCCTTGGGACCCACGTTTTCCCATGGTCATCAAGCCGCGACTCACTTACCATATAAACAGTATATATATATATACACCAGTTTGAGCTTGAACTTGCCCCAGCTTTCATGCACGTCTTTTAAAACAAAAGTCTCGCATCAGAAAAAAATTAAGAATTAAGTTTTTTGTTGTTGATGTCGTTTCTTTGGCCGTGCACTGCGTGACCCACATTTGTGTCGCGACCCACCAGTTGAGAAACACTGATCTAATATTTTATTGAGCTTAACACACAGTCATTATAGTCTGGTGGGGTCCTCTCTATGTTTCTTTTTATCTTCAGGTTGGTTTGACCACATAATTGTGCAGGCAAAAGTTATTAAGATATTAATAAATAAAGCAGTTAAAAACAATTTTAAGAAAATAATAAAATATTATGTTTAACTTTTTTAATAAGATGTTTGACCTTGTTTAATAAAAAAACTAACAAAATTCATGCTTTAAATCATAAATTCAATGTATAGAAGAGATTGTCTGAACAGAATTCATTGGTTAGTTCACCCAAAAATGAAAATTAGCCTGCGTTTTACTCACCCTCAAAGCATCCTAGGTGTATGTGACTTTCTTCTATCAGACGAATCCAATTGGAGTTATATTAAAAATGGTCCAGGCCCCTCCAAGCCTTTCAATGGGGATAAGCGGGTGTTGGTTGTCAACAGTCCAGAAGATGTGAAATAAAGTGCGCACATCCATAATAAAACATCCCTCACACGGCTCCGGGGGGTGAATAAAGGCCTCCTGTAGCGAATCCATGCATTTTTGTAAGATAAATATCCATATTTCAAACGTAATAAACACTTTTTTCTCATTTCCGCTGACTGTCGTACACGGAAGTCGTGCAGGTGGATGACGTAGGATGTTGGCATCATGCGCACGCCTCTGAGAAATGCAGGAGCAAAGGAAACAAAGTTTCCTTACTCTAGCAAAGGAAAACCAGTCTCCTCTTGGCTTATATCGAAATCCTCCAACATTTTTCTTTACAAATCCTCGTTTTGTGCTTCTAATTCGTGACCGGCGTTTTGTTTTGTTTTGTCTCCACGTCCGTCACTTATCCACGTCCATCACTTATCACGCAAAGCCGACGTTTTACGTCATCCGCCGGAACGGCTTCCACGTATAACAGTCAGCGGAAGTGATAGAAAAGTGTTTTTTACGTTTGAAATATGGATATTTATCTTACAAAATCACATGGATTCGCTACTGGAGGCCTTTATTCACCCCCCGGAGCCATGTGAGGGTCGTTTTATTACGGATGCGCGCACTTTATTTCACGTCTTTTGGACGGTTGACAACCAGCACCCGCTTATCCCCATTGAAAGGCTTGGAGGGGCCAGGACAATTTTTAATAAAACTCCAATTGGATTCGTCTGAAGAAGAAAGTCACATACACCTAGGATGCTTTGAGGGTGAGTAAAACACATGCTAATTTTCATTTTTGGGTGAACTAACCCTTTCATAATGCAAGGCTAATACGCGTTGCATTCTTTGCCTTGCCACAAGGGGCAGTAGAGCAGATATTCACATATACAGTCTTCTTCTATGGTCAACTAGAATCATACAGCAGCAAAGCAAAAGTTTAAAGAGACTCTTTAGCTTTAGTACATCACAGAGTATATTTTGGGCCTTAAGAAACTCTCATACAGGGGGTGACCTGCGGTCGAAGAACAAAATCTATTTCAACTGTAAACCACCCGAAATGGCATCTGAAGTTTATGCAATATGACTCAAGCGCAGCAAAAACATGCTGTGGTGATCCAAAGCAAATATTTAACAAAGTCTACTAAATATAACACAAAGGGACCTTGGCAGTCGTCAGAAGTGGTACTTCTTGCCGCGACTGGAAGTTGGTGACTGCCTCTGCTGACGGAGGCCATGCTGAGTGCTTCATGTCAAAGTCTTTTGTAAATAAGCCCCGTTCCACCTAAACCCTTCAACTTTCCTTCACTTAATTTTATTGATGACCCACTATTATCATCAGCCCAAGGAGCCCACATGCTCGACCGACGTACTTTCCAATTACCACGATACACTGTACTAAGATTAGCACTGCCCCACACACGATGCCAAACCCGGAGACCGAAAAGAACATGGTGAACATGGCAGTCCTGGTGGTTTGCCGCTTTGTGGCGGTGGTTAAGTCATGTGGAGACTGCCTTAAAATAAGTCATTAAAATAAAAGATTCAAACAAAAACAAGCTAGCCACGCGGAGAGCTTGGTAAACATGCAAACCCTTTATGTCAAACTCTGAGAGATTCAATTTCACTTCCACTTTCATTCTGCATCCAGGCCGTACTAGGTTGATGATGTTCATAAAGCTGCCGTACAGCCGAAAATAATTATGAGAGAAGAATAATAACAGTAAATTCGCACTTACGATAGTGAGAAAAGATTCATACCTCTCCAACGTCATATATCCACACACGTCCCTCTGAGTCTCCCACGGCGACCTCTTTGCCTCCAGAGGCCCATCTGATGCAGTTCAGAGCGGGGGCTCCCTCTATTGTCACACTAGCGGTGGGCACCTGGACACAAAACACACTTCTAATCATATACAGCTTCATATCAAACACAAAATATGTGAATAATGCAAGATTTTTGAATGAAGTCTCTTTCATTGTGAAATATATACTGTACCAGCATATACAGTACACTAAGAATTTTAAATGTTTTTGATATAAATCTCATACGCTCACCAAGGCTGCATTTATTTGATGAAAAATACAGTAAAAACAGTAATATTGTGAAATATCATTACAATTTAAAATAACTGTTTTCTATTTTAATAAAATGTAATTAATTTCTGTGATGGGAAAACTGAATTTTCAGCAGTCATTGCTCCAGTCTTCAGTATCATATGATCCTTTAGGAATCATTCTAATATGCTGATTTGCTGCATTTTTTTATTGTTATTATCAATGTTGAAAACAGGTGTGCTGCAAAAAATTTTTTGTTGAAACCGTGAAACTATTTCCCCCCCATGATTCTTTAATAAATGACGTAAAATAAGAAATAATACAAATGTTTTACTGTTAATTTTGATCAACTGAATGCATCCTTGTTAAATAAAAATGTTAATTTCTTTCAAAGAAAAAAAAACTCTTACTGACCCAGATGTTTTAATTGTGTAATGTGAATATTTGCAGTTTGAAATGCGCAAAAAAAAATAATATCACAAGCCATTTTTTTTATATCACATATGTAAATTTACATTTACAAAATTCAAAATTTTTTGTCATGTTGCTAACTCTGTATTTCTTCAAATATGAATTAGAACACTCTAAAAAAATTCTGGGTTAAATACAACCCAGTGCTGGGTAAAATATGGACAAACCCAGCGATTGGGTTGTTTTGACCCAGCGGTTGGGTTACTGCCCAGAAGGTTGGGTTAAACATTTAACCTAACTGTTGGTTGAAAACAACCCAATCGCTGGGTTTGTCCATATTTTACCCAGCGCTGGATTGTATTTAACCCAGCATTTTGGAATAAAGACAGACACAAATAAGACATATGTTGAATTATAAAATGAACGTGGATCGTATAGCCCTAGTGTGCTCACCTTTAAAACATAAAATATCAACCACCAACCTCAAATTCTCTAATTCATGCAAGAATATAAAAAAATTCAATAAAATATAACAAAGTGGATTTGGACTCTCACTACAGAAAACGTCTCAGTTTACTTATGTAACCATGGTTCCCTGAGTAGGGAACGAGACACTGCATCCTCTAGGGGTCGCTATGGGGAACGCCTCGTCGTGACCCGTGTCTGAAGCATACATTGAAAAAACACCAACTCGCTGGCCGGCGACAGCCATGACGTCACTACCAGTGCGACTATAATATAAATAGGCGCCGGGAGCACACATCATTCACTTCTTCGTCTGAAGCTTGCGTCCGCAGCATGGCAAGAAACCTAGAGAACGCAGTGTCTCGTTCCCTACTCAGGGAACCATGGTTACATAAGTAACCTGAGACGCCCCAGGCTTCTAAAACTTCCTCATAGAATTTTGGTAACCCTTTCAACATATCTTTT